TTGTACAGCATTGGGTATAACCAGGGCAGTCTTTTCTTTCCTTATACTATTGACGTCAGTGCATTTAATTGTGACCTAAAGTAGTTTATTAGATAATAAATAAATAATTTTTAAATTTTAGACAAAGTTTTGGATTCTTAACATAACCTACAGAAGGTTCAAACATTCAAATTTATTAAAACTACAAGTGTGGGTTTACCTGATTTTCCCTAGCAAATCATTGCCTTGTATTTAAACAACTTAAAAGGTAATTGTCAATGGGATAATAAATGTTCATTTATGATTACGTACAACACTATATTTTGAAAATAAAAACATAAATTGAAATACTGATACGTTTGTATAAATTATTATGGTTTTATTAAGTATTGATTATATCAGAATATCAGTAAATGTAGATTATTACATTTGCTGATATTTTCTAATGCCCAGCCAGTAAACAGCCTGTAGGGTCTACTCCAAAAGAGAACAGGTAACTTAGTTAACTCAAGTTAGTTTCTTTAAAGTTCTCCATACAGTCATTTATTCTACTTAAGTCACACCTGAATAAAGGAAAGAGAGTAATACTCACAAATGTTTCCCAGCCAAATATGTTAGCATAGAAACATAGCCAGTTTTGAGATACATAAAGTCGGCCATGAACTAAGATATCTCGCTGCAAAGCACATGAGTAATCTGTAAGAAATTGAGACATGAAAACATTGATAATAAAAATGTCAACCCAAGGCTACTGATCAAACATTAATAATATTATTGTTTTACGTTATCTTTGGTACAGGTTCCCAAGAAAACTGTTGGCTGACTGTCGGACAACATTTGGCAGACACTCACCCCACAGTTGCCTGACAGCTGGCCAATATTCGGCCAACAGTCAGAAACAGACTTGTGTCAAATTTTTCACCAGCTGTGGTCCAACAGAACTTTGCAGGAGCTCTTGTTCACTGTTATCAAGGAGGGGACAGTTAAAACTAAAAACTGAAAAAGTCCATACTTTTACGTCTCGTAAAAAATCGAACATGAGAAACAGTGTTTCATCACAAGATAATCAAACACCGAGAAAAAGATTGACGCACAGTGGAGTATTTTTGATAACTTTGAGGTGTTTGAATGTGTGGTGTCAAAACACTATGTCAAGTGTTTCATATGACTTCTAACACAAGGTGATTTTAGAAGAAATTAAAGCTGTCAAAAGGAGTACACTTTGGTCCAACCACTAATTAAACAATTAATTTCCTTTGCATTTTGTCTATGAATTATTGATTAGTTTGAGAAGTTAAATGGAAGAAGTAAATTGATTTCCTCTCTTTGTCCTCAACAGCCACCACTAAACTGCAGGCATTTCCTTGCTAAAAGTTAAATTGGTTTGTTGACAATTTTAAAAAATAACTCTAAAACTGCTTTGTTTTAATATAATATACGGGCAATATTTTACCCTGTTTATTTTTATCGAATTAACCCATTCGCCCCTGAACCGCCCGTAACCGCCCGTGCGGATCCAGGTCCTTTCTACCCTTTGTGACGTCATCAGTTTTAACGGTCAAGGACAACTTTCTTCGCTAACTTGTGCAGAGTGAAGAGATCTTTCAAACCATACCAGAATGAGTACAATTCAGTCAAGGACACCGGAGAAAGAAGCAAAAAACCACGTGACAAGGACCTGAAAATCTCCATGAAAATCTTGTTCCATTACCCACCTACCTTTCCTTTCACCTAATCTTAAGATCCTAAAAGCTTTCCTAAAAACTCTTCCCACCAAAATGAAGCCTACTAAATGCCCAGCAAGAGAAAAAAAAAATGAGGCAAGAAAAGCGAAAAAAGAAGGGAGGAGAGAAAGCGAAAAGTAAAAGTCAAGACTGCTGTGTCACTAAACTCGAAATTTTGCTTTCTGCGCATGCCCGAACTTCGCAAGCTGATATTTTGCATCTGGATCAGAAGGCCGCCAAGTGTACAACCTGTAAACCGGTTTGTGGTAAGTTTTAGCTCTTTATAGCACGACAGTGACCAGAAAACCACTCGACTAGCCTCAAAACGCGTTTTTGGGCAAAATCTCCAGGAGCGAATGGGTTAACTAAAAAGGATGCATTATTTGATTTAATACTTGCTTACAATGCATGTGCAAACAATCAAATATAAAATTAACTCCCTCACCAACTATAAGTTGCTCAGTGTCAGGCAGATCTTTAAATAGTCTTCTGAAGTCTCCACACTTTGTCTTATAATTTGAAAAGATCTAAGGGAAAAAATAAAATGTTATGGGGAGATTTTACTTGATTAATACAGCACAGTATTATACTTAAATTTTTCTGTTTTTACTTTTCTTTTGTTTACTAAGTGCAAGATACTGTTTCACAGTTTCAGAGTGATCAAAATCACTTTATTATTTTGACCATGAAAGCTAAATTTAACCAAAAATGTCAATTCTCCTTAATCCTGCTTGCCCCTTTGGTCAACATCCTGTAATTTGGGTTAGAAAGTCAAGCTGTATTATTCATATAATTATTAGCAATAAGATGGCATTACCTTTTATCGTTTTACCTAATAACCGTTCTTACCTGGTTAAATGAAGCAGGAAGCCAATTTGCAGGTGATTTCTAAATATTAAAAGAAATTATAGCATTTTTTTCACAAATTTATTAACACGTGCAATCTAATACACACATACAGAATTTCTAGTGTAAATCTTTTAGTGTTTGTTTAAGATGGGTGCAGAACAAAAACGTTTGATTCAGTTAGGAATATTGTGCTCTGGTCACAGATGACTGACAATGGTGGACAAAACACTGACCCAGTCCATGCAGGGACTACAATACCCAGCTGGACTACCTACATGGACTACCTTTTGATTAATATTACTGGTAGTTACTCCATGTACGTACCATTATAGTCTGTAAAGGGTTTCGTTAATCGTTTGTCTCACAATTTTCACATAGATATTGATTGTGACATTTTGACCGTGTACTGCAGGTCTTCATCAGGCGACAGTGGCAATTTACTGAGTAGAACTATTATTTATAACACCACGGTTGTTAGTGATTAGTGTATCAAGAACCCTGCTTATGGTTGGTGCGTTTCGATCTAAAGCATTGTTGGAACCCATATTGGTGTAGTCCATTGGGATAGTCCCTGGACCCATGGTCACTGTTCATCCACCACTGTGTCCAATAATAGAAAGGTAGGAGTCATAATGAGCTGTCCCTTAGAGATAATGAGCAATTTAGACAAAGAAATGTAGAGAGTTTTCTAGACACTAACAGAAGAGCTGTCATTAAAAGGAGGGGGCCAGGGATTTCCCCAGCTACAACGAATGTGGCCCCACGATATGTTCAAAGGAAAAAGGAAGAAAAGTAGAACCAAAAGAAACCCCTAGAACAAGCTGTTTGATTTCCCCCCCCCCCTCTTCTTGCGGTATTTGCCCATAGCAACTTGAAATCTTAGTGACAACCCGACTAAGTATCATCAACATTGTTAACACTGTATTCGAGACAATGAAATTGATTTATAAATTGTAAACTTTTTTCAATCTTGCATCAGACACTTCATTCCTTTGTAACGTTACTTAATTATTTATTTTGCAACAGATGCTGACTAAATTTGGAAGATGCTTAGTAGATTATACATGAACCATCATTGATGTCAGTCACGAGGAAGCTACTGATAATTATTGTATTGCAAATCAACTATGATTAAAGTCCTGCCAGACAAAAACTAAGAAGCTTTACTGTTTTGATATACATGTATGAGTGAAGAACTCAAGAAAAAAGGCAAAAGAGTTCAAAAGCTATACAAAGAAGGCAACATTGAGCAAAAATATTACTCAAGAAACATGAACTGCTTTTTGAGGGATACTGTAACTGCAAGAAAAAAATAAGAGGAACAGGAAAATGTTCCAAAGGAAGTCTACATGGACCTAAGGATGTCTGTAAGAATTAATTCTGAGCACAATTATTTGAATTCAGCTTTAATGTATGACATGAAAAGTTATGCAGATCTTGAGAAGAGGTTATACCCACAAGTAACACCCTCTGCTTAATTCATTGAATCATATTCAGTCTCAGTCAATAATACTTGCCATATTATTGCAGTGTTTGAGCTGACAAAATTGATTTAATAATAAAGTAACTTACAGGTTGTTTTGATTTTGCCTTGCTGGTTTTTCTCTCTGCTGTCTTGGAAACAGGACTAACATTTGATACCAGCTTTCTTGAAGGACTCAGATCTCTTATTTTGGACTTTAAACTGTTTGCTATAGTGTGACTAAAATGAGATAAAATGTAAATGGATTAGAATATAATAACAAATAATAATTATTATGACTTATTATATAAGGTTAAGATTAAAGGGCTTTCTCTAGCATTCTTATGTACCAGTCAATTCCAAAACCACCCACGTCCTCTCTTCCTGAGCAAACCCCCAGGCACTTCACTTATTTGAAAAATTTTGGTCAAATTCCCCAGTATGTTGGCAGTTTAGAGGGTCAAATGCCCCACTGCCTAGCACTTCAAAAAGTGCCGAATCCCCAACTCACCAGCGACTATTCAAAAATTTTCCCTTTTGTCAAACTGTTTATTCAAATGAAAATATCCTACAAAACACAACCCCAGTATCTAATGTCTTGGAAAGGTGTCTTAGGAGGTTTTTAAGCTCATTTCAATAAAATTGTTCATTCCAGAAAGCCCACATTTAATGGGCTTTTCAAAGGCTCTCAAATGCTCCAGCAAACCAGTCAATAGAGGAACAATGATCCTTGAACACAGTGCATGTGCTGAATGTGGAAAAAATTAAAAAATCATTTTGCTTGTGACGCTGACCAGTGTATTGACACAAAAGTTAAGTGTCCGAAAGGAGGGGCCTCTTTTGTGTTATGGAGCAAAAATCCAGTCATATACTTGGGATATGTTAAGGGGGATGGACAGTTTTGGAAATGACTGGTACATTAATGAGTTTAATGGTGACACTGCCAGCCTTTGCCAAAAGCATGCTTCAGACAAACACTTATAGTCCCATAGTCTTCAAACTATTACATCCTAAAAGTATTTGGGGTGCTTATTATTATCAAGGATGTAGCTTATATAATAAAATCACTGAAAAATGAAACTGAGCACAATTACTTCAGTTATGTCTGAAAATTTGAGCCCAATATGCTGAACAGTTTCAGAGAAATTCTCTTTGAAAAACCCCAAACTTTACAATGGATAAGGGTTCTCATTAAGTTTTAAATTAGACGTCTAAGATGTAAAAATTGGCAGCTTGGCAATTGAGTGCTGTAGGCAACTTAAAGCTTTCACTCCCTCACTTTACCCCTTTTTCCCCTAAAAGGGGATGGCTCAGACCTCAAAGTAGCCATTTTTTTTTTAGCCAGTTACCATCACTAAATGAAAACCCTGAAGGATTTATTCGCTTAATTTAACATTTTTGCCACCCAGCAATTGAATCGTAGTTCTTTATTGCTGCTATTTCATATGTTATCAGTTGTTAAGAGCTGGAAATTGCACAAAATGCTCAAATTAATGAGCTCTTTAAAGTTCTGAACCTAATTTGTATGTACAGTGACGTCTTCCATGGGTTAATTCATATGCTAATGAGCAAAAGTGTAAACAATGATGTTAACAATAGTTCATCTAATAGTAAACTATCTGAAGCACAAGACAGACACTGTTGGCACTGACATGAATAGACAGCAACTTAGAGTTTTGAGTCCAGCAGTCACAGGCTGAAAAAATGAATAAACAAATGGGTATCATAGGAGCTGCTCATTAAAGGTCTCTTGCTATTGGTCACAGGAAACAATGACATGTCACTCTTCCAATTGTTTTAGTATTTTTTGGGGTCAGGAAAACACACTATTGGTGATCGACTTCTCTTCTGAGCAGCTGCTACATGACCCAACTAAAGGAAACAACTTGACTAAGTGTCTGTCATGACTGTACTCATTTCAACAAAGTACTAACAACCAGTAAAAGAAAACCAGAAGTTAATCAGCTGTTACCCTCTTGAGGAAGGTCTTTGGCCATTTTCATCAACATCTTCAGGACTAAAAATAAAACAAGCAGGATTTATGAAAGGATGCCTCATGGTTTACAAACAAATTGTTAGAGTAATACACAAAGACTGGAAATCATAGCATTTAATGGTTTAATCTACTGTAAAATCATGACAGCATTGATGGTTTTCACGGTGACGTCATCAGATTGCAAAGTCAAAAAGCAAGGTTTTACGAATTCTTATTTACCCTAGGTTGAAGATAAAAAGAAAATAAATCTTTGTACAAGTTTCCAGCCCCGAAGGATGTTTCATTTCGAAAATACAGCAATTTGAACTTGCGAGTTTTCCCAGGTGTGACACCAAAATAGGAAATTGATGTCTCATTGAAAAACATCTCTCCTCTTGATTTTCAGGATCTTTCAGCAGTTTAACCATTTCAAGTATTAAAAGATGTGTTTATGCGAGCGTATGCTAGCTCTTGAGTGAAAAGGAAGAGCTTTTATGGAAAAAGTGAACTCCAGATGTTTTTGTTGATTTCAGGCGGCCACATTGATGGACAGAATATGGCGTCTCCATACAAAGCTCTGCAAAAGTGCGTGAAATGTTTTGGCAATTAACTCAGAAACTATGGGCCTCAAAGACCTGAGATTTGGGCAATAATGTGTATATATTAGTCTTTTATAACATTTCATTTTTTTGGCTTCTTCCACTAGACAGTTTCTAATTTATTTTTTGGTGCCGTGTTTATTGTGTGACAGTGAAAACGAAGAATACAGTGTAATTTTCTACTTACACCAAAATATATATGTCCTCTACGTTTGGACCCTGATCTTTTAAGGCAAACATGTATAAGTAAAAAAAAAGGAAACACAACTGCCAGCTACAAAACTCATCTCTTTTTTCAGGTTATTAAGGAATTTAAAGCCACTGTACTACCTACCCACCCCCTAGGACGAAAACCAACATAATTAAGTAACTACCGGGGTATTTTTCAGACCACAAAATGAAATTGTTGGCCAAGAATATTGAATATCCTGAGAATATCTTTTCAACAGAATCCAAGATATATTCCTTAAAAGAAATAGGCGAGCGAAGAAAATTAATGAGCCATACAAGAATCATACTATTAATAAAGTAAGCTTACATGTAGTTTATGAGTTTTAAATTGCCGGCGCTGGGGTTGAAAGTAATTACGCGACATTTTCATGCAAGTACCTTAAAGGACATTGTCTTGTTGGAGGGTATGCCGCCATTCTGGCATTCCATAGTCTCCGTAATTTTGTAAAATAAAAGCCATATAAGTATGACCCCCCGAATATAAATTTATTTGTCAGTTTTTTAAAATATTATTTCACCTAATAAAATATCTTCAGTAAAATATCGTCTCCCAAAGGTCCCAATTTGCCGGTGAAACAGAAAGCTGATCTAAATGAACGAAAATCTAAAACAAACTACTCCTTGCCTTTCTCGACTTTCACCGTTATTACGTGACTGAAGATCTTCTTGCGATGAAGAAAACTCCCTGGCTTTCCTTTGGCAATAAAAAGAAACCAGTCAAGTAACATAATATATTTCTAAACAAAGCAACAATAACTACTTCTAATTTGATATCTACTGAAACCCCAAATCGTTAAGATCTGTAACCTTGTGGTTTCTCCTGATCCTGTATCGTCCTCAGGAGTTCGTTGCTGGTCGGTGTCAAAGTTGGAGCTCTCCAAATGTAAGCTCTTAGGTCTTTCCTTCTTTAGTTCGCTTTCTTTATCATTTGGCTCATCTGAAACATTTACAGTTCGGCTGTCTTCCATAACAGCTTCGTTTACTACTTAAGTTTTTTCTGTTTTCATTGTCAATTTCTCAGTCAGCTGAATTAGATAAATTTTAGCATGCAGTTGTGGCGATTTTTGGTGCCGAGTCTTCCTCGGTCACCCTAACCAGGAAGGAATCCAGGGTAAATTCTTCATATATGATTATTATAGTGTACTGAGAGAACCCTGGTCCTTACTTTTTGTGTCCCAAGGGAAAACACGTCATCGATATATCTCTTCCATACCAACGGTTTTGTATTGTGTTGATCAATAATTGCTGTCTCAATTTTAGAAGAGACTGCTCTCTTAGTCCCTATAGCTCTGCCATGGGTCTGGAGAAAGTCTTTCGTGACTCACTTCACGTAAGGCCAGGGAGTCGCATTTGATAGATAAGGCCATGACTCTTGAACCTCATGGCCTAAACTGCCGTGAGGAATTATTGTAATCCATATCCTTAGTATTTTTAGCCTGAATTTCATCCGATTACTTCGAGTCGTTATTACTCCCTCAGTAACGACGTTGTTGAGAGGAGAAAACGACTCGAAGCAGGTTTGTGTCGTACGTCATTTCCTCCTCTCCCTTTTAAACAATTTTTATTGCGACATTTTCCATCTTCTGATTCTTACATAAGTTCAGTAACATATGTTAACCTGAAGAAGGCTGGTATGGCCAGCCGAAATATTGTTATGAAAAAAATACTCCTTGTTCTGAATCAGCTTTGCAGTAGTCTTTGGACTTTTCGTTCTTGGTTCTTTATATGTTGGCTCTGATTAGATCTCTTTTCTTGAGATCCAACGTTTACAACTACCAGGATCTTCGTCCACGGTTTTTGCAGTTAATTTAATCCTTTCCATTAAATTGGAAAGAGTCTTCTGGTATTATAAGTCTCAGCAGTTCCTTTAAGATAATGTCCCGGGGGGGGGGGGTACTCCCTTATAAGGGCTTAATGGGGACGTGCGGCCAAAGGGTATGTTTTTCGGGATTTTTGTCTTAAACAAGGTATCGATTTTATCATTTTTTGTCTTAATCAGGGTATCGATTTTATCAATTTTTGTCTTAAACAGGGTATCTTTTTAAATACTTTTGTGATTGCCAAGGGATTAAATAAGAAAGAGTTTCGATATTTATTATTGTCTTACTGACACGGTATGGTTTCGGGTTAAATGTCTTAAACAGGGTATCAAAAATCGGAATTCTGTCTTACACAGGGTAGGAAAATCAGCGATTTTTGTTGTAACGGATGATACGCTGCGACTGTAGGAGAAGCCAATTGTCACGCGGCTAAAACTATTTGTGGCAGCGAAACTCCGCGTGAGCGGGTATATTTTACTGGTCGATCATGAATCAACTATGATCACGAAACTAGGAGTTAGTCCTTGACGGTGATTTTATTGACAATAATCGAACCGTAAACTGAAATATAATGCAACGTATAAAATAAGTACTAAAAGCTAAAAGTACAATTACAATTATTATAGTTTGGCTATCAGATAATATAACATTTTACTAACATTCCAATCATACTTTCATTTTCGTAGCTGGTCCAGTATAAAAACCTTGCCAAAAACGCGTAATAAGACAAAAGAAATAATATACTTATTGAAATACAGGAATAATAAATTTTACCAACTAGAATATTAGACTAAATTTTCTTCATGAAAGGAATAAAATCAACTTCAATTTGGGTATGCAGGAGAGAAGAAACCTTCCCAAAACAATAATGGTTGCTTCCTGCGAATAATACTATACTAAGAAACTAATAAAATAAATCTGAGAACGGACTACGTTTGCAAAGGCACGAAAACTAAATAAACTAAAAGAAATGAGATTCCCACGCCGAACTAAAAAGTAAAAACCTACTTGAAACTCAAAAAGGCGTGGTCACGTAATGGTACGAGATACTGAGTATTACAATAACTTCTTGCAGGAATATACTTTATGAGTCTCCAGATAGACAAAACTACAGAAGATAAAATGTACTTACATATCGGTTCCTGCTTGCCTCTAACTACTAAGAGATGAACTACCCAAATAGACTACAACGATGTACACATGAAGACGACGAAATCCAACTAAAGCTTAAGTTAAGAGACCATACGTTTTCTACGTAAAAATAGCGTTGTCTAAGGAAATGAAACTAGCGAATCAGGAAAGCTTAAGGCAAGAGATATCATATCACTAAATCAATAAAGCTTGTTGTGATGTCATTTACATTTGTCTTAAACAGGGTCAGGGTATGAGGGGCCGAGACGCACCTCCCCACCCAAGGATATATCGAGTACCCCCCCAGGGAAAAGGTGTTGGCATAGGGGACGTCGTCGTGTAGAATGATATGGTCGTGATACCTTCTGTTTGCGGTATGCTATGTTTGTATCTAGACTTGTTACCCCCCGGGGGGGATACTTGGGTTAATTTTTACTGGGTATGTGCAGCTGGTCTCTGAGAGCCTTCACCCCATTATAGTCTAATCTGTGGCCAATTATCGACCCCACCTTAGTCACTTTTGGGCAAATATGTAATTTTCGCCATCCCAGCGTAGCCACTTTCTATTTTTCTGAATTGACCCATTTTTTAGATTGAATGAAGAACATTTTACCTTTTATCTGCAGTACAAACATTCTGGTACGTTTGCTAACCGTAAATATATATGAAGAACAGTCTCACCCCAAAAATCCAAAAATGTGCGACCCCTCAGTAACTCTGTTGAAAATGCGACCCCATTATAGAAATCCAGTCGTGAAAATGCGACCCCATCCAGCGGCACATCCCCCCTCTTATAAGGCAGTACCCTCCTGGTATTTTTTACAGAACGCCGAATGCAGAGTACGCCGAATCACTGTGAAGTTTGGTGACTAGGGATTTAGGAAACTGAGTGAATCAAGTTTCAAGTCAATTTTACCTCAACCTCGTCCCCAGGGCGCTTTCCCCTGGCTTTGGAGGTGGGGCTACTCCAAGGGTTTTAAAACAGTCTGCGAATATAAAGAGATGATAAACATGGAAATGAAATGTAGTAAAGGCAGAACATGACAAAACCAACAGAAGTTCAGCTGGTACTGATGTCGCCGCATCACCTGTTGAGTGTTTTCGGTCAAGAGCGGTTCACTAGTACAGGTAGCTCCTCAAAAATGCATTTTTGAAAAATCTTTCCCTAAAAACGCTTAGGTACTGAATGTTTTTTGGGTTTGATCTGAAGAATGCAGCCAGTATGTGAATTTTATGGATTGATAATCCGTTTTGGATTCAGAAAAAGAAACTGAATCTGGAGTCCCCCCCTCCAAAAAAACCACACCCTAGTTAAATAATCAGTGTTAAGACTGATCTTGACGTCACAAAAATTTAAACTTGTGAATTATTGGATTGGTTGGCATGTTCAGGAAGAATAAGATGAAACAGGATCCTATTAACCTGGTATACCAAAAATCAGTCTGTTAGTGCAAATTGATGTTTTACAGTTGGGAATATAATGATTTTTGCCAATATTTCGAAAGGCACGGCCTTTCTTAGGGTCATAAAAATGACTGAATCGTAACGGTTTTCGTTCCAGGCCTAGAAACTCAAACACACAATTTAAGTGGAATTAACATAGGCTAGGGCAGACCACCCTTTCCACCCTTTGTTCGTTTGGCCCGTTGTCGTCATTAAAATCTGAGTCATTTGCTGCCCGCTTTTAGTTCTAAACCAGCTCGGAAAGGCGAAAACATGACATACTACCAGGTCAACATTATATTTTGCTTGAACATTTGGCCCAAATCTGTATGTGCCGTATTTCTTCTATCGAGTACAAAAGACCGATGCTCAGATTTCAATAACAACAACCAGAGCATTAACGGCCACCCGAACAGAGGGTGGTATGCCTGTGGGTCTAGTCGATTTTATCCTAATCCTTTCATGTCCTTTCACATTCTTAGGCTACAGAAACAATCCTCTTCTGCCCCATACAAATCCTCATATTTTGAAAGTTTTCAGTGCGGATGGTCAGCTCGGGTTAGCTTGGGTTACCTGTGATCTCAGTGGGGTGTACGACAGTGGAATCCTGGAGCGAGTCTGCCGCCATTCTCGTCCCCAGAGCCCGTCGCTTCTTGGTCACGTGGTAGGGAAACGAGGGTAGGCTTTTGTACATTACGCTAGCATTTTTTCGAGCATTTTATTGAGGCAAAAGCATTGAGCATTATTCGAGCATTTTAGTGGCATTTTCCTCTGGAAAATTAATTTTTCCGAGAAAATAAAATAGAAATTAACTTTTTTCAGGAGCCCATGCCCCATGAGCTCCTGCTTTTTTAAACAAAATGAAGTCTAGAATTCAAAATTCACAAAAAACCTAATACAGCTGGTTTTTTTGGCTGTATTTATGAACTTGTACACGTTGTCGTTGTTACTTGCAACACTTGCACGTTTTTGTAAGTGTAAACTTTGAAATTAATTTAAAAAAACCGTTTGTATAATGAGCATTATCCGAGCATTTTAGTGACTTTTTTGGGGAGACCGAGCATTTTAGTGGGAAAAATGGAGCATTAAGGTGAAGCATTTTAGTAAGGAAGCAAACGCATAATAATGTACAAAAGCCTAAACGAGGGTCGGTTTACGGGTCGGTTACAAATTAAACCGAGTGGCTCTGGGGACGAGAATGGTCTGCCGCCCGAAAGATTTTATGGGTAATTTGCAATAAGGCTCGCGGCTCGAGCGGCAACGAAACAAGGATTTTCCTACTGACAACATGGCGTCTGGTGATGGGGATGACTCACTTTACCCGATTGCTGTACTTATAGATGAACTGAGAAACGAAGATGTTCAGGTACTGACATATTCCTTGTTAGTTTTTTGTTCGTTTTTTCCCCTTTCTTGTGTTATTTCTTGAATGGTTTTATCCTCTAATGTGCGTGAGCTTCCAGTCACAGGGCTGATTTTTGTTGTAAAACTTTATAGTTGCGGCTGAATTCCATCAAGAAACTATCAACTATTGCCTTGGCCCTGGGGGTAGAAAGAACAAGAAGTGAACTTATACCTTTCCTTACAGGTAAATTAACTTGTGGAGTGAATAAGCGGTTGAATTGAAGGAATTTAGGATTGATTTGCGAGCAAGTATAAGCTTACATTTCTCCGATCTTGAATTTGGGAATGGTATTCTTGATAGCAACCAAATTCGCAAAATTATTTTTATTTGTTTGCGGTCACGAAGTCGTTTCATCTTAAATCTATTTCACAAGTGTTGCTTTCGCCTAACTACTTAAAAACCCTATTCTATTTTTACCGTGAGCAGTTTGATACTTGAGTGTAAGCTTATCTTTTTTTCTTAGCTCAATATATTCTGGAAAACTTTTTCTTAGATTGACAGTGCTCAGTTCGTTTTGTAGTGTTCTTGTCGGCATGGACTCCAAAAGCTTACTGCACAGACTTTATTTGGGAGGAGATTACTGGAATCATGTAATTCATATAATAATGTATTTATTAAGAAATAAGACTCAAGTACAGTCTATCTTGTGCACAGCTACATGTCTTCTAGACTAGTAGACCTATTAGTGCAGTAAGATAAGAGCATACATTCTAGTTTCTTCGTTTGATCATTTCAAGTTTTCTGCATTGTAAGGGTAGCTTGTTAATCAGGCAGTTTCCAAAGTGCGTGGTTGTCAAAATACAGTGAAACACCAACCACCCGCCAGAAGTGACCACCTATTGAAAAAGCCAAAATTTTCTCAGTCAAATCACTGGAGATGGAACCTTCAACTTGTAAACAACCACATCTTGTAGGCAACCACAACCACTCTTTTGGATGACAGTTTTAGAATTTTCCATTGTTTTTATCCTCGTCTAAGCGATCACTCAAGGCATGGTTTGATCCCTATGTTTGTTGTATGTACTACAGTGTGAAGAACTTTAGAGACGACATGAAATGCATATCATGAAGAAGGAATTGCATGCTTTGAACTGACCCTTCCACGGTTTTTTCAACTTTGACTGGGACCAGTTATTTAAATAACTGAGAAGAAAGTTCTGCCTTTGTAATGACATCTGCACTTGTTAGACGTTCTAGTCTTCTCGGATAAGGATGAAAACCGTAGGTCCCGTCTTACAGCACTTTCTCTGGTTTGTTCTTGAGGGATGTAAAAGAACCCATATCACTTTTCGAAAAGAGTAGGGGTTGTAGACCTCAGTGGTGTGGCCAACCTTTACGGATTGAGGGATTCGGTAGGGATGGCACATCGCATGGGACCTGAGTCCCGTTTGTGCACATTCCCTCTGGGCAGGCTTGTGTCCAGAAAAGCTGGTTCAAAAAAAAAAAAGAACGTACGGATCAAAAGCACTTGTGTGTACAAGCAAACAGGCAAAGTTAAGTTTACGTTTTTAGGTGATTAAAGAGGACAAATGCAAGGTTTTTGACCTTGAAGTTTGGAAAATTGACTCAGTATTTTTGTATCAAGTCTATCTTTTGAACTATCAAAACTGTTTTTATATCTGTAAAGGTATGTATTTACAAGTGTACAACATAAATTAAAAGGAGACTGAATGAATTGTTTTTGCGAGCCTTCCAAAAATTACCACAAAACATACAGCAAAAAATAGGGATGCGTAGATATCGCTGAATAAATGAGAAACGAGTGTAGCTTTTGTGTTCGTAGCAAGATAGAAAACGCTACAAACTTCCAAAAGTAAAATTAGCATACCGTATATCACATGTAATTTGAAACCTCTTGCATTTCCATGGATGGCGACTTTTTATCAGTTTTTACTTCATGCAATAGCAACCAAACTTGTCTAACGCTGGGGAAAACTTCATGATTTTAACATCAAAGGTTTTTCGAAGACTATTAAATTTATTCAATGCCATTTTCAACGAGAAACTTCAACTGCACTGCAGCGGATCAGAAGTCCCCGAAGCGAATTTCAACTAGTGCTTGTTTGTTTTATCGGCGGAAATATTTTTTTGCCTGTGGCCGGCGACCAAACATTTTGCGTTTTTGTTTCAAAAGTGCAGAACGAGCAGGGAATTTTAATGTTTGTTCACCAGAAATTAGCCTGAGAATCAAAGTTTTAGGCACCTGTTTATCCCCCTGTTTGAAATTTTGGTGGCCCACAGGTAAATCATAGGCATGGCGACCAGGCACCCGTTAGGCAGCAGCCTTGGGATTTGTTCAAAACTAACAAATATTAGCTTCGTAAAGTCAAGGAATTGTACAGTTTTACTTTTACTGTATTAATCTGCAAAGGCGGTAACCATCGCGCAGATGTTGTTTGTATCGTAGGGGCAGATTCCCCGGGGGAGTTTGTGCCCCTTACCATACAAACATCTTAAAGATTTTATTGACTTCATAGAGCAATACCGTTGCTCTCTTTGGACGTATTTCCTTTAAAGTTGGTAAGTTTCCTTATTTTAGGTAAAAAAAGGAGAAAAAATTGTGTAAGGGTCTACATGTATTCTTTCCCAAAATGTAGAATAGTGTTTGGACCTCTATTACGAAGAGACTCCTTTTGGTTTGCATCTTGTAAGTGACCACCTCAGGCAAGGGACCACTAAATTTTTGCATTTTGGGTGGCGGTTTATGGGAAGTTGGAGTTTATTAATTAACTTGTCCTACGACATGAAAGTAAATCCTTCAAACTTTCGATTTATATTTAACCATTTAAAAACAGTGGCTGATCCAGTCCCTGAGACCAAGTGACTGACACTTGCCATTTCACATTTATTTTTACAACCACTACATTAGTTTGTAGTACATGTGTAGCTACTGGTAAGTCAAATTTCACAATAATTGGTAATTTTGTTACATCACTCCTGACTGGAAGGTTTGTGTTTCCAATTTAGATACAATTTATGACGAAGATGAAGTTTTATTGGCCCTTGCAGAGCAGGTATGTATTTTGGTTAGTTAGACCCTGCCATCATACATGTAAAACTTGTTTTTGCATTGTGAGAAGTCAATTAAATATGTGTACAGAGATCATAGGCCCCATTTCAATCAAACTTGATGTGCTTTTGATGGCAACTTTGCAACCGACTGCATGTACCAACTCATCATCACGTTCTTTGGATATAATGACGATGTGTTCAGGGATTGCAAATTTTATTGATGAGTGGAGTCACTGTGACTTCCGCTTCACAAATTTTGGAGTCATTTTGGAAAATTTGGAGTCAAGTATCACAACGAAAAAAGCCATTTTCAGACTTTACAGCACGTGGTCCTGGCATGAATAACTATCGTGATGGAGACACGGTGTAGCTGTGGGGGTCCACTGACCTAGAAAGCTCAAATCCATGATCACGGTCATCGAGTAAACTTTGATCGTAATTTACCCTCTTCCTGTTTTGTCGTGCAGTATCATTCTTTAATTTTGATGATTTAATTAAGGTTTGCAACGTTTACAATTAACGTAAATTGCATTTGTTGCGAAAAAGGTAGAGACAAAACTGTGTGTGTTACCGAAAATTTCTGGAGTTGAAGTGGCTCCCTGTTTGTTACTGAAAATTTCTGAAGTCGAAGTGACTCCCTCCGTAACCTCTGTGGAGTCATCTGATCAATTTTGGCGTAAAATACGCCAAATTTGGCGTATTTGCGAACCCTGATGTGTTGTTTTGTTTCTTTTTTGTAGCTTGGTACATTCACCCCATTGGTTGGTGGACCTGAATATGTGCACTGCTTACTGGTAAGTTCTCCCAAACAGTGACTTTGTAGTCAACTATTGCCATGCGAAAACTTCCTTATCACAGAGGGAATGACAGAGGGAAGGACACAATATAAGATAATGTATTATATATAATATATGCCCGATATGTACAGATCAATCAGTAAGAATCTTAATTACAAAAGCCTGCGAGGTACAACACTTGGAGGGGAAACTGAAACTATAACATGAAACAAAATATATATAAGAGTTCATAAAATGTCCCTATAAGGCACTGCTGGGAAACATTGTTTGAACGAAAAAGTCTGTCCACCAGAGGCAAGCATAAATACAACATGTAAGGGTCAGATCACCAGTCTCTTTGGAGTTTGATGAGTTCAGCTGGAATTCCGCACTTGAAGATGAATGTAGCGCCTCCACAACATAGACTCACTTGAGAAATCCTGAGGATCCAAAGAGACCAAAGAAGCTAATCACTTGATACTAGTGTTGAGAGACTTCGCTGTGATGCAGTCTAACTGGTTGGAAGTGGTTGTGAAGGTGAAGAGAGGGTATGTTGTGGGAGCACAAACGTAGGGCAGTGGTGATCCTGGGATGTTAGGAACTGGAACAACAACGCTACCTCAAGATAACACAAAGTGTGAAGAAAAGGTGTCCAGAAAATTTGGGACAAAATTGGCTGTTCTGAAGAACGTGAAGAAACCAACGAGGAAGGCAGACCACAAAACCAAATGGGTGGAGTCACGGAGGTTGAGGTGAAAAACTTCAACAAGATTGATGGTGAGAGCAGGGTGCAAAGAAAGTCAGTTTTACAGCCTGCCATTCGGACAAGCTGTAGCTAGCATGCACCAGCCCACAAGTCATTTCAACTAGCCCCAAAACCCTTTTTGATTAGCGGGATTGATTACAATCCTTCTGTAATTTGAATTTCCCCAAAAAACCACACTTGCCCGTTGGGCAAGTTAAGAACAAATATCTCTAGACCAATAGCAAAATCCACTAGCCCTGGGCTATTAGACACGACTTTCTTTGCATGCTGGGTGATAGGGGAGCTTTGCGGGGAGGAACGTGAATCATAGACTTTTTTACCCTTTCTGTGTCAAAATGGCCAAGGACATGCAAATGATGGAGAGTACTTAGATCTATTGTTTATAGTCTGATATGAAGTGACGGAACAACTGACCAAAGTGACAAAAGCAGTAATGGTGGACAGGGAGGCAGGAAATGGTCAAAGCTCATAAAATTGACAGAACTTGAGATAAGAGTTCCACACTAAACAAGAGTTTTGTGTAGTGGCATTCGAGAGGGTGAATGCTTGGGCTTAGTGAATGTGATGTTGCAGATCACTGTGAAGGAAACCTGAAACAAAGTGAACAGGGGGTTACCACTGGCATTTGAACTGAGACAAATCAAAGGAACAAAAGTACTCAGACAAATTATCGCGATAAAGGGATGCGGTGTCATGAAAGAAGGCAAAAAAAAATCTGGGTCAGTATCCCAGTGACAAAGATTTGGCAAGAGTGTTTTTGCTGGCTATGGACAATGCGCATAGCTCAAAATTGAAGAGGGAAGAATAAAACCAAAGCTCACGCAGACATGACTGAATGAAAGGGATGCAAGAATGACCCAAAATGATGGCAAGTTCAGTGTTCTGACTATAAGTAATGACCAATATCCATTAACCACAGAGCACCTGGGAGGGTCGAGGGGTAGATCTAAAAACAGATGAAATTCCAGATCAAGGCACCATTGTAGAAGCAGAGGCTACTGAGATAGAAGAAGGTCTTCAGATGATGGACACAGAGACCAGAGCGCAGTTGATGTAAATGAGCACTTTGAGTCAGTTACTTTTGAATCAATTGAAGTTGATGCATGTGATCCTCCAAACTGAAATACAGTGTAATATTAAGCATGAAGTGTTTGTTGAAGTAAACATTAACCTCCACACAGAAAGCAATCAACGTGCTGCACTTATAGCAAAGTTAGACACAGGAGCACAAGGAACCCTTTTGCTCATCATATTGTACATTATGTATCATCCTATGTTTCCTCAAAACTTAGCAGTGGGTGGACTTCCAAAGTGAGAACTCTCTATACAGACATTCAGCTTATGATGGTGTTAAGCTTATGCAATGTGGAACATGTAGGATCACATGTGAATTCTTAGGCCGGAAACCGTCCTTGTTGTTGAAGCAGAAGGTCCGACCCTCTTAAGTCTACACTGTACCAACAGCACATCACCTCAACCTCATTACATTCAAGGGTTCTGTGCTGAAGAATTCAGTAAAAGCCCATGACACCCATGGATTATTTGCATCTTTTTGAGCCAAGCGTGAAGGAGCTGCACCCAGGCCAGCCACTCCACTCACATTCCAGGCCAAAAGGAGCCAGAGCCAAGGCAGCCACACCCTTGCTGGTCAAACTTGAGACACACCCTTACAACAGTTAACATCAAGACAACCCACTGCTCTTAAAGATACTTGTAAGGTAGATTTGGTGAACAAATAACAACCTTTAACCTACCATTGGTTGTTCCTGATTCTTTTAAATGCTGTTTGGCCTTAAGATGTTGCAGGTCATCTTTCAAGACACAATAGACCAGACCTTTTAAGGCTGTGTAGGTGTGAATGGCCAATGATTTTGTTTACGCTTTGATAGAGGAGAAACAGACAAGTGCAAGATTAAGCAGAAGAAGAATAATTTCTGTGGCATAATCTATTGTGAAGATGGGTTCAACCTGACCCTGATAAAGTTTCAGCCCTAAAGAAGATGGCACCCCCACCAATGCAACTAAAAACGTTGATAAAAAATAGGTAAGTTGTGGAGAAGAGCAGCCTGTTTGATTCCTTGATGTTAGTGGAAGAAGTGAGTGTACCTAGATCTGGGTAGTGGCACTTCACCAGTATGGAATATTTATGCTCTTTTCTCAGAGGTCATCTGCAGGAAGCTGTTGGTGGTGTCACAAAGTGTTGGCTGTTTTGTCGGACTAAAGTTTAGTGTGGAGGGTTGTAATTTTATCTTTATCAACTTGCTAATGCAAACCTAAAAATAAACCTTAAATAAAAATTTTATTTAGCTTTATTTATTTGGAAAGCATTACACCAAGAAGGTCCTTAATGTCTTGTTGTATTTTATAGTGCAGGGGATTTGTATATCATTTTATTTTTTTATGGGCTTTTATTTGCTGGCTTTGTTTGAGTATGTCTGCTTATTTTTAGTTTTTTCAAAATTTCAGCCTCCTTTGGAAAGTTTGGCAACAGTTGAAGAAACTGTTGTGAGGGACAAGGTATGACAAAAGCTAAGTTGAGTTTGTAAATGGTGTGATTAAATGAACTCATCAGTCCAGGAAGTAAAAATAATTTTTCTGAAGATATTAAACTTTCGGTTCATAGGCCAACCTGAATATACAATTGTAGAAGAAAGATTTTCATTAGTTCACTCTTTTCTTTGCAGGCAGTTGAGTCTCTCAGAACAATTGCTGCAGAGCATTCAAGCCAAGATTTGGAAAATCACTTTGTTCCTCTGGTTAAGAGACTATCACAAGGTTTGCTAGGATCTTGTGTTTCACAAATAAGAAATTATCAGGCATTTATGTCAAACCAAGGCAAATAATAATATATTATAAAGCTAAAAAAATATTACTTGCTCAGTAAGTGTTAGAATGAATTTGTTATTATTTGCAGGAGATTGGTTCACTTCAAGAACATCAGCTTGCGGTCTTTTCTCTGTCGTGTATCCTCGGGTTAATGCAAATCTTAAGGCAGAACTAAGGCTGTAAGTGCACTTGATCTTCTTTACAGTACCAGGTTGTGCTTTATTATTGCTCAAAGTTTTGCATGAAGGCTGAAATTAGTGTTCTGTGAGGTTTTAGAACTTCTCTAAAGTAAAAAAATGATCAGGCATATAAATTTGCTTGTTTGAAATGTACTCTTAACCTGAACTCAAATTCCGAAAATGAAGCATTTTTGTTAAATGGAAGCTGAGAAAATGTCGGCCAAGGTTGGTATTTGAGAGCGCCATTTTTGAAATAATTAACCCATTCGCCGCAGAGATTTTGCCGAAAAACGTGTTTTGAAGCTAGTCGAGTAGTTTCGACCGGCAGAGGCGGTTACAGGCAGCTCAGGGGCGAATGGGTTAACAATCAGAGTTTTCTGTTGTTGAGAGAAATGTTGCAATTTTCACAACCCGACACGTGATAACGCATTATGAGTTTCAAGTAAGCTAGGACGAATTATAGCAAACTTTGCTTACATTCTGTTTCCCCAATAAGGTACAATTGTTTTGATATTTCTAAATCATTTCCATGGCTGTAAAAAGCCTTCTAGAGACAGATTAGATATATGATCCTTGCAAGGTCGATGACAGATAAGGCTGCAGTTAAATGACCTATTATGCAAATAAGCACATTGCTAAGGCGAAGATATTGTTTACGAAGCCATATTGAGAGCACTTCACAAAACGAGTGCAAATGAAGGTGTGTGCAAATGTAAACAGACCTTTGACTACCTGATCAAACAATTCTGTCTCAGAAGGTTTCCTCCCTTTTCCTATGTTCTCCTGGGAGGAAACATATTAGTTATAATGAGTATCTTCTTGCTTTTATCTCATAACAGTAATTTTCAAAAGTTGTGTGAAGATGACACACCTATGGTGCGAAGAGCAGCTTCTGGAAAACTTGGAGTAAGTATCTCAGTGATGCAGAAGGAAAAAGCGATTCATCTTTCACTTATGACAACCTACATGTACTCTCATTCATGTATGATCTTTTACCACTGATATTAGAAGTTGTTTAGCAGTTTTAAAACCATTTTTGAGCAAGGATATAAAGTTCAAACAATGTTCATATATCTCCATTCAAATCATTGCAATGGAATAGACTGTGACACAAGTATGCTGTCTATTTCAGGCTAGGCTGATTTTGATACAATAATAAAATTATTACTTTTATGCTTGGTATCAAGTCTTTAGGCAATAACACAGTAATATTGAGACTGACAGGGCTTGACTTGTGTGCAACATTGAGTTTGACATGGGGTTGCCAGATACACATTCTACGTATTTCTAGTACAGGATGCAAAGAAGTCAGTTTTTCACTACTTTACAAGCTGCCCCAACCCCTCCAAAAAAAAATAATAAAGAAAAATAAAAATAATGAGCAGGATTTATTACAGTTCTTCTGTAATTTGAATTCCCCAAGTTGTCTGTTAGGCAAAAGCAAATTCCACGGGCCCTGAGTTATTAGACACCACTTTCTTTGCGTGCTGTAGTATAAAAATTGTTGAAATAGGCCTATTAATGATAGGAAAGGAAGATTAGATTTGCCCTAGCGTACATTGTTTCTCCTTGAGATTGTTGTTTAATGTAGAACCATAACAAAAAAAGTGAAGAGAAGTTTTCTTTCCGTCACCTTCCCCCTTCACTTTTTTTGCTCTCCCTCCTATTTTCACAACAAACTTATTATCTACGTTGCTTGCCCTTAGCTTTTCATGCTTGTTAGTTTAAGGTCTGTTACTAACACCCTAACACTTTTATGTGTGCTCAATCAACTTTAAGAATATTATTATTATTTGTGTGGATTCTGATGTTGACTTCCATGTTGATTACAGTGTAGATAGGAATTTGTGTATGCAGCAAACATGCCTTTGTTTTATGTTTCATTAATTGCTATCTTAGGAATTTGCAAAATGCATGGAGCTAGAGTTTGTCAAATCAGACCTTGTTAAGCTGTTCAACAACCTTGCTAGTGATGAACAGGACTCAGTGCGACTGCTTGCTGTAGAAGGCTGTTCAAGTATTGCATCAATTCTGCCAGATGAGGATAAGCTAACTCTTCTCATGCCTACTGTTAGGGCTGCAGCACAGGTACATAAACCACACCATTCAACTGTTGTTTTGTGATGAAGTGGCATAGAAATGAAAGCACTATGTCTCCATCATGTTCTATGTTCCATTCATGTACTCATCTTTTCATTTCACCAATGCTTTGCCATTGTGCAAGGAATCTGATTTTATAAATACATGTACTCCATCTTGTTTTTGTGAAAATGTAACTTGGCCTGCACAGGTACATTCTGTATGTCATTTGCCCAGGTAGTGAGTGTTTCCATTAAGTTTCATCCCTGTTCTTCTAGGACAAGTCTTGGAGGGTGCGATACATGGTAGCTGACAAATTCACAGAGGTAACTTTACGCAATCTGTTTCCATTTTTGAGTGCATTTCAGTTATGTTATGGTGGTTTTGTTATTTTCATTAAGTGTTACCTAACCAGTAATCTAATTGGAAGAGGAAGTTAGGTAAAAGTTTTTCAGATTAGGCAGGTATTTTTTCCTAAGTGGTTTAATAGTGTAAAAACTGTTCACTGGATGCAATTTTTAGTTCCAGCACTTGATTTTCGTTCCAGTTTGCATCTCCCCTCTACTCAAAATTAAATGTGGGTTTTTACACCTTGTAAATTGGTATACTACATGTATATTAGAAAGGAGGGTAGTTCCTTTTACCAAGCAAACTAGATAACAAAATATCAGAGATGAAAAAAGCCCATTGTCATGCTTGTAGTAAAAGGAGGGCATTGATTGTTTGGAGGCAAGGGATAGGATTGGGAATAAAGTAATAATGATAGTCATCCTCCTGTTAAAAACCATTACACCATTCTTGCAGTTGTATACTTATGTTATTTGTCATGATTAGTTGCAAAATGCTGTAGGATCAGAGATCACAAAGAATGATTTAGTGCCAGCATTTCAAGGTTTACTTAAGGATTGTGAGGCTGAAGTAAGAGCTGCTGCAGCTGGGAAAGTTAAAGGTAATGCATTCATGGTGGTCTATAATAATATTAGTATACATGTAGGAGCTCTATAAATAATACAAGGAGTTGAAAATGCATGTCACTATTACAACAACTGTATAGTTATTAGAGTGTATTGCTTGTGACACTGAGAGAAAGATAGGGTGAATTAGTTGGTTAAGTGGTGTTGCGTTAGAGATTGTCATTTAAAAATATGCATTGCGTCAATTAGATTAAGTGTTAAGTTGCAATTCAGTTATTGTTTTTTGATAATGTCGAGAAGCACTGCCTTGATCATCTTCAAGCTATCTTATTTTTTTTAGATTTTGCCGATAAAGTTCCTGAGGATGTTCGTGAGCAGGTGTTGATGACTAATTTACTTCCATGTGTCAAGGTATGTTGTTACACCATTAACACTCAGAAGGCTCTATTACCAGATATTGAATTTGCACTATGGTCAAAAAAATTTATCATGGTTCTAATCTAAGCAGAAAAAACTGTTAAAATGAAAAACAACACGTATTTACTGCAGAAATTAGTGATACATGTACACATATCTTTTTGCTTAACACAGCAGTTGTAATGATGATTAAGGCAGCAACTTGGGGAAAAATAATTCACTGCCATTTGTCTTTTATCCATTGTTTATTGTAGGACTTGGTAATGGATCCTAATCAGCATGTCAAATCAGCTTTAGCTTCTGTGATAATGGGACTCTCACCAATGTTAGGAAACGATAAGTAAGTCTAAAGCAATGCATTATTAATTTAAAAAAGGTTCAAAAGGTAATTTTATAATTATCATTACTTTGAAACTTCTGGACGTTGTCACCTCTTTCGTCAACCTTATCGCAGCAAAAAGATTTCTTTGGGAAATTTTAAAGTTTCTTTGAACCTACCAGACAGAATGTTTTTAAACTTTGTGAGTAGTTGAAATAATCTTTAGCAGTTGATTGCAATTTGTGATAAAAATGCGGGACATCTAACTCAGTTTTGAATTAAAAGAACTAAATGCTAGAATTAAACTGTGTTTTAACAGGTACTGAGGAAAGTTCTCGAGTTTGGCAACTATTTGATACCAAGTTCCATTATTGTAGCAGAAGAAATTAATGCATCACAGTATTGATCTGTTAATTGCAAAGTGCTGAAAAATGCTACCAGCCATTGAGAGCCACTTTAATTCTGATAGTCAAACTTACTTGTATTTTCAATACCTTTAACTGATGCTTGGTTAATGTTTTTTATTTTGTTACTTCGTTTTTAGCACTATTGAACATCTTCTTCCCCTTTTCCTTACAATGTTGAAAGACGAGGTAAAGTATGATGTTTTTGTAGTGTACTATAATTGCTAGAAAGATTTTTACAATTCTCAAAGTTGACAGGTTTTACAAGTAATGCTATTTCTTTTGAGGAAGTTATGTGAGGGCCGGCCGGTGCTTTGCTTTTCTTGCAGATTCCTGAAGTAAGACTCAATATAATATCCAACTTGGACTGTGTCAATCAAGGTACTACAGTGCTGCTTAAAAACATAACCGGCAGTGGTAATATGAAACCTGTTGTTAGTGGTCTCTGACATTACCTTTATTTCATCTCGAATATTAGAGTACCTATAATAGCTAATTTTTGAGAAAAAAAAAAGTTTGGATCGTTGAGGAATGTTGGAAGGCCAATTGAGTGCTTAACGGTGAAGACAGTGTTGGCTGTTGTTGCCAAGTGACCATTAAGTACCAGTTAGTTTAATACAGGCTTGACGATAAATTATGAGTTTTAGGACAGCTACTTAGGCTACATGGTGAAAATGTCATGAGCGTCGTGATATTTTGAGAGTGATAGGCATTGCCAGTTTTCAGACGGCTTTCGATGCACAGTATTGATTTGGTTGTTTCTCCCAGGAACAAGTTGTTATGAATTTTGAGGTGAAATCGGTGGGACTCCAAATTATTCCTGTTCACTATCCCCCCACCCCGTCCCCCCCAAAAAAAGACACTCGCTGTGTGACTCCCAGTCAAGTTTCTCCTCTTTTAGTTATTGTTTCTCCAGTGTTTGTTGAAAGTGTTTAGCTGTTTTGTCTTTTAGCTCATGAATCAGTTGTTAGTGGTATGTTGTTGAGTTACATGTAGTGCTTAAACCATTCTTACAATAAATTACTTGTCAATGATAATTATTTGATTCCTTTTTAGTTATTGGCGTTAACCAGCTGTCACAGTCTTTACTACCTGCCATCTTTGAGCTTGCAGGAGACACCAAATGGCGTGTACGACTGGCAATTATAGAGTACATGCCATTACTAGCCAGTCAGTTGGTAAGTACCACAACAATTACTATCTGGACTGGTGACCAACAAACATCAAAGTTGTAATTCCTTCTCTGCCAGAGTCAATAAGCTTATTAAGATGGCAGATGTAGTTCTACCTTTTGAGTATATTAAGGTCTGAAAATGTGATCATGTAAAATGTTGTCAATACTTTTAGTCGACTGACAGAAGAAACGACTCAGTAGCTGTACTAGTCCCTTTCCTCACTAATGTTATCATATGTAGCTGACTCATAACATTACTGTCTCATGCATTCTATCAGGGTGTAGAATTCTTTGATGAGAAGCTTAACAGCCTGTGTATGACTTGGCTTGTAGATCACGGTGAGTCAGGTTATTAATTTTTACCTCAACCCTTTCCTTTCCTTTTCTTGATATTTTTTTAATAGATACCAGCAGACACTAAACCTTTTGCTAAGCATCATGTGTCATTTTTAAGATTTGCTAATGAATCTGTTCTGTCTTTGTAGTGTATGCTATCCGAGAAGCAGCAGCAAAAAACCTTAAAAAGTTAGTAGAAAAGTTTGGAACCGAGTGGGCTCAGGTGAGGAAATAATGGTCAATTTGATCTTGACTTGATTCGTGTTTTTCTTTGTCCCCCAAAACTGGGAGATGGTACAAATACACCGGTACTCAACTGATTACGGCCGACCGTCTTTTGTTTAAGGAGAAGGGGTTAGTTTCTAAAGAAACTCTGAAGTTGTGTCGGTGGGGAGGGAGGGAAATGAAGCGCAGCTAGCCGTCTTTCATCTTAACGAATCCAAAGGGTAACAAAGGGCAGGAGAGGGCTGTTGGGCTGTTGGGCTGTGGTTTTCTGTTGCTGTGACGAGAGTAGACGTCTTCCTTCCTGGAGGTGTCGCCATGTTTGTTGCTGGTTCTTGCTTTTGCTGCGAAATGTTTTTCTCCACCCAACACTCCTGTTTCCCTTCAGTAATTCTAAAAATTGAATTTCAGCTGAAGAAGAGCCACTTTGTAGTTATTTTTATATCAATCAGATGAGGAGAGTGACCTCTACCTTTTGATCCTCTTAACATATAATAACCGTTATTTTTTTTTCTTTTTTAGAGCAAAATTATTTCAAAAGTGTTGTCCATGGCTACAAATCCAAACTATCTCCACAGGCTTACCACTCTATACTCAATAAACGTAAGTCGTCCCAGCTCCTTCTACTTTTGAACACCGTGTTCTGAATGTAGTTAGTTTCGTTTGCTATCGTGGTTTTATAGTGTGACCTAAACCACCCAAACATGCTACCGTGGTAGAGTCAGGTGTTTTTGTTCATTAGTCATTTCACCCTGAAAACCTGATCACCTAAAATCTGTGTTTCCTTTAATATCCACTTCGGTTGGCATTGCCTCGAAAATTTGATGTTTTTGGATAAAGCTAGCTTACTTTATAAGAAGTGAATAGCACAACATTTCAGTAAATGGTTATATATATACTTTGTTTTGTCATTTTTTCTTGTATAGTTTTTTCTTACGTGTTGTTCAAAAAATTATGGCAGGTGCACCATGGTTAACCGCTGTTGTAACACTACGCAGCATGTTACTAATATTACACAAAATGATTTTGAATCGAATCTCCCAATAAAACCTAGCGATGCAGGGTGCAAAGAAAATCATTTTTACAGCTTGCCATTCTGGCAAGCTAAAGCGAGCATTTACTAGCCCAGAAGTTATTTCAACGAGCCCCAAATCCTTTTTGACTAGCAGAATTGAATTCACAGTTCTTCTGTTAATCGAATTCCTCAAAAACATCAATTGCCCGTCGGGCAAGTTAAAAACAGAATTCACTAGCCCGATAGCAAAATCCACTAGCCCTGAGCTATTGGACACTACTTTCTTTGCACGCTGCAATGTTTTTTTAGTAGAAGCCAAGATCAGAGTGTTCTATTTTTTTTTTTACATATTGCAGGTATTAGCAGAAGTCATGGATCCTAAGAGTGTAGTAGACGTCATGTTGCCGGTTGTTATCAGTTTAGCTGGTGATTCTGTGGCAAAT